TACAATTACAATAAGCTCCATCGACTTCAGCTGTGTTCTTTTTAAGTCTAACTTTCGTTCTGTAAGTCTTATTTCTAGTCATAGAGGCTTTCACCTTGGTTTCAAAAAAGCAAAATTCACTATGACTGCTGGGATTATACTTGACATCTTGGACATGGCTAGCTTTAAAAAGGGCATATCCCTCCCTTTTGCATTTAAAAGCTCCTCGCCCTTTTTGTCCTTCTTTTGATGCGCCAGATAGATAAGAGAAAATAAAACAATGCTGAAACTCCGGCAAATTCGCCAAACTTGATGACCAGCCCTCCTTTGGCCACTCAACACGGCAATTTGCTGGCTGCTGCTTTCCACTTGTGTTTCGGTTTTCTTTCTCGTCTCGTAGCCTTTGGTAATGAATTCCACCATCGGGATCGATAACCTTTTTATCCAGCCCTGAGTTAATGTAATCCTTTACACTGTTAAAAAAATAGAGCTTTTAGTTAAGCAAGGAAGAAAAATCTCACTTCTTGCTGGCAATTATCGTGCTTACCGTTCGAGGAGTTGCACACGGTTTCCGCCAACTGAACCTCCTCTGCATTTTAACCAACGTCTAAGTTCTTCATTCTTCAGATTTTCTGGCTTCCTTTTCTGTAGAGAGGCCCCTGGGATATCTTCTTCTGTCAAAATTACACGACAGGGCCCTAAATATTTCGCTATGTCAACACTATTATTATCTTTGAGCGCCATTGTTATTTAAAACATCACGCCAATTTGACTACAACTACCAGAATCCTTTGCGCGCGTGACGTCATCGTGCAAGTGAGCTATTGCACTGATGGGAAACGTGCCCCAGCAGGTAGGGCAGTTGACCAGAAAGAAGATGTTGACGGGGCGGCTGCAGTGCTTTTTCCCCTTTCTGAACTAAAACTCTGCCTTTTTGGTGGAACAGGGTACAGTGACGGTTTTAATGCAGGCTTAATGAAATCTTCATCATCACTGGAATCTTTGGAGGCACCATCACACAACAAATTGTCCTCTTCATCAACATATCGTCGAAGATCTTCAAATATATCTCCTTGAGGTAAGAGATATAGAGTAATTCGTGCATATCCAAATCCAGACTCTTCCTTATACCTCCTCAAAAGGGTTCCTCACCACCTACACGCCGGGGCCAAACCACCTCTCAAATCGGTCATCAGAGGCACGCGGTGTGTCATGGGTAAAAACCAACATGGCGCAACTATTCGAAAGAAACCCACCTTCTCGGAAAATTAGCAGCTTTCTTCGCAGAAATATGTACGATTATCTATCTCAAACGGAAAGTACGGCTACGATGCACTCCATATCCAGATTTTATCATGAAGTAGAGACGGCAGTAGGAATGTTGGAGAAAAAATATGTGGGTCAATCGAGGAACAAAGAAATTCAACAACTTGTTGGGACCCAAAGAATGGTTATTAATGCTCTAAAGAAGATCCATACGAAGATTGTCAATAGACTTCGACCAACACCCAATCTAACAAACCCTTGGAATGGTGAATTTTCCCTCGACATTCCGCGAGAGGTTTTTGATGTTCTTTTAAAACATATTGTACAAAGAAACAGTTAAGGGCATCAGTACACGGAGACTACAGCTGTGATTGATGTGGACGTAACACGAATAAATAAAGCTGTTTTTATCTTTGACAAAATGAACGTTGAGGGTGAACTTATAGCCAAGGATGATCTGCTGAAAAAGAAACCTACCAAGAATAATGGGAGATGTGAGGTTATTGTTGACAACAGCAAACCACTAAAATTCAGATACAACAAAAATTCAAAAGTGCTCTCAGTTAATTTCTATTATGGCTTTTGGAATGAGCGTGGAGTGCCACAACATTAATTTTTGGCTCGTAAGAGGTAAAGCTAAAAAAGTACTGTTTTGTTTACATAAATGACAATGGCATGAAATTTTGGAATGCTAGAACTGGTAGGGATCTTCCACATGTATTAAAACTGTATTAAAAATAACATAACATAATGCATCTATCAATGGCAAGCCAGCAAGGGGGGGGGGGTACATGGGGCATAGGGTGGGAATTTGACATTTTCCAAGAAATTGCTGTCCAATTCCCTACCCCCGGGCAAAAATGTGAGGTCAAATATAACTGAAATTCCCCCCCCTCCTCCCCCCCACCGGCTTGACATTGACAGGTACATAATTATAGCTCTGGATGGTCTTCTGACTTACCTCATGGCAGAGCCAGCTGTTCTTTGACTCATTTCCATCTCTTTCTCCTTCCCAGTGGGTTTCATTGTAGAGTTTGCACTCTCACTGTTAGATTTTCTGAGTAGGTCATGTTTAGTTTACAAGGTACGATAATCTTGGAATTTTCGGCAAGCACTTGTTATTGATGTTGATTATCTGTTTGTCAGGCAGTGGCAAAAAGTCCTAATTACAGTCATGATGCCACCATGTTGTTGTTTAAATTTATTACACTTTACTGGGATGTTTTACTAAGAGGTACAGTCACAACAATATAATTTGTCAGTTATAAAAATGAACAGATTTTATGTTCTAATATCCATATGTTCCCTTGTTAAGAAAAGTCTTATTTATGGTTGACAACTTTGCACTTAGACAACAGAAGATCCATAACCAGGATTCATGATAAAAAATTAATGTTCTCTGGTTAAAACATTTTAACAAAAAACTAAGCATTTAACAACTTGTAACTTTTTTGCCCCAGTGTCCAATAGGCCCATATTGTTAAATTCTTGTGAAGAAAAAATAAAAAAAAATGTATGTCGAGAAAGAGTCTTGTTGCCAATCTTTCCTTTTACAATCTACTGTATGTTGCTGTTCCAGTCTGTTTTGATCAGACTTTTGTTGAATTTACTGCGTGGTTTCAATGACAGATGCTAAGACCAGGCTGATTATTTAAGTTTATGCCCACTGTTTATTCTACATGGGGCAGCCCTTACAATATCACAGCAAGCTGGTAAAATGCACCGGCCCTTTCCTTGCTTTTCAAACCAAACAAATAAAAAATGTGACCTTATTTAGGAAAAGGGGGATTAAGGTGAATAATGAAAAAACGTGTTTTCTATCGTTTTAAACATAAACGTGTTTAAACACCGTTAAAACGTATTTAAACAACGTTTAAACACACANTAAGACCAGGCTGATTATTTAAGTTTATGCCCACTGTTTATTCTACATGGGGCAGCCCTTACAATATCACAGCAAGCTGGTAAAATGCACCGGCCCTTTCCTTGCTTTTCAAACCAAACAAATAAAAAATGTGACCTTATTTAGGAAAAGGGGGATTAAGGTGAATAATGAAAAAACGTGTTTTCTATCGTTTTAAACATAAACGTGTTTAAACACCGTTAAAACGTATTTAAACAACGTTTAAACACACAAAAAACGCGTGCGCAAGACTTTTATGTCGAAAGAGCTTTACACAAACGACGCGTTTAAACGCTGTTAATTTACCTCAAATGAGTGCATAATTACATGAATACTTGCTTTATTATTGGGTGTCATCCGGGGTTACTCTGATTTATTTGAAGCAATGCAGCTCGACAAATCATTGAAAACTTAATTCAAGGACTCGGAACGGAGAAGAAATGCATGATCGAAAGTCCAACCAAATATGGCGGCGTTCTTTGGGGAAGAAAACAAAACACTAAATACTCGGTGACTCAGTACGAAAATCATGGGCATAAACAATAGAAATTCGTTTCAACTAAAGTGAGGAATGTACAAATGAATATTACATGATGGTGTTAAGCAAAATTTTGTTTTTTGATGTGTATCCTGTGATCAGCGAGGGTCATCAGTTGGTTTCTCTTGTCACGTGCGATCCTGTTTTTAAAACAGAACATTGATTGTTGAATGCTGTCGGTCTTACTAGAGGCGCAAGCGCTTATACAACAGTCAAATTAAATTCTGCATTGGGCAGTCTTCACATGCAAAACTTACTACTGTTTTCCTTTATCCATGTTTGATCATGCAAGGCAGTTGACATAGCGGCTGTCTTCTGACTCTGAGCGACAACTAAGGCCCAAGCAATCGAACGAAGATAACATAACTCGCACCATCATTACAGGGGTCTTACAGGGCTCCACTAAAGCTGCATATAAAGTGTTACGTTCAAGCCATTAGCAAAGAAATTGGTTGATGAATGCCCAAAAGAAATAAACTGATGTAAACGTGTCGTGATCGGTCACGCAACCTTTCAAAATTTTAGACTTTTAGGTCACTGAGTTAATGGAAATTATAACTCCCTTTGTTCTCGCTCCCCATTTTAAGTACTTGTCAAAACGTGACATCAATTTGTTTCATTTCCTGTTTGTTGATGATTTGCGATATGAAAAGGAGTGCTAACCTACACAGATAGTAAATCGCTAACACACAAGCAAGATAACCTACAACAAGAGGACAGGCCTTTCAAAGCTCTGAAATAACAAAAAAAGCAAAGCTCCGAAAAACAAAATTGAGAAATGGATCATACTCTGAACACATCGAACCTTCCCGAAACATTCACGGGTGATTTGCAGTCGGCAGAACAAACCTATTTCCTAGCGAACAAGAGCAGATATACTCAAGTGACTCTGACAGTGATGAAGATGAATTGGTTGCGGAGGAACCGGACACCAATATCCAGTTGGACCCCGAGATGCAATGGAGGGAGTGTGATGTGAATGAGCGCCAAAAAGTGGAATCATTTTTGGCAAAGGGCTGCGGATGCAGTTTGAATGTCAGTAATAATGGATACTACAGCAATAATTTTTCTCTAGAAAACGTACTGGAACATAGACAAATTTGTCTCGAAAAGGCCAACTCTGAATTAGACATGGTGATACTTGCGCAGTTTGACGCATGCACCAAAAGAGACGAACTGTCTTTGTCCAGTCGGCAAACAAGACAAAGGAGAAGGACGCGAACAAACTTCACTTTTCAAGGTAGGGTGAAAACAATGTTACGAATGTAGCTTACGGAAGATGAGAGTTTGGAACAACTTCAGTGCAGCTATGTCTGTCCGCTCATTTATTTGAAAATTGACCGCTTTTAGCCCGTCTTTGCCAGTTATGGAATGTTTTTTTGGAAAAATGCAGTGTCCGTGTTCTTTAAGTTGCCTCTTTTTCATTCTTTCTCTAGGTTTTCCGATTTGCAAGGACTTCTTTTTAATCGTATATGGAATTGGAAAGAAACGCTTGGAAAACCTGCAGAAGCATTACAAGAAAAACGGAATTCTTCCTCGTGTTCATGGCAACAAAGGAAGACTTCCCATTAGTCTGTTCATTGGAAACCCTAAAACGTGTTGTATTGTTCCTTGATAATTACGCAGAAGAACACGCTGTCGCACTCCCAGGTAGAGTTCCAGGATTCAAACGTACAGACGTAAGATTGTTACCATCATCCAACACTAAAGCAAGCATACATAGAGTATATGAACAAGCCGCAGTGAGTGCAGGAGTTACTGCTGTCTCATATCCCAAATTTGTAGAAATGTGGAACAAACTTCGCCCCCAAATGAGAATTACGAAGCCTATGACTGACTTGTGCCACACGTGTCAAAAGAATAACACAGTTATTTACCGGTCAGCTAATTTGCCTGATGATGAGAAAAGTGAAGTTGTGCGTAAACAAGAAAAGCACCTACTGGACGCAGAACGGGAGAGAAGTTTGTACAAAATTACATGCAATGAAAGCAAAGACAGCATTGCCAAAATACTACACGAGATTGATTTTAATTCAACACGACAGCCCTGTTCATTTAATGGTAAAGTAAAGTATTCATTTGATTATGCACAGCAAGTACATTTACCCTCAAATCCAATGCAGCCAGGTCCCATTTATTTTAAAGTTCCACGGAAAGTGGGAATTTTTGGCATTTGCTGTGAATCATTGCCAAGACAAGTTAATTTTCTTATTGACGAGGCTGGCAATGTGGGAAAGGGTGTAAATGCGACCATAAGCTATCTTCACTATTTTTTTGCAAACCATGGCTTGGGTGAAACTGAAGTGCTCCTTCACGCAGACAACTGTTGTGGCCAGAACAAAAATTCGTACGTACTTTGGTATCTCGCATGGAGAGTAATGGTTGGACTTCACCAATCTTGCACTTATAGCTTTCTCATTGTTGGACATACAAAATTTGCATGTGACTGGTGTTTCGGGCTTTTAAAGCAAAGCTTTCGGAAATCCTTTGTCTCCTCGCTGTACAAATTAGCAACTGTAGTAGACACATCAACTGTCAGGGGGGTTAATGTTACACAGCTGTGCTCTTTGCATGATGGTTCAACCATTGTTCCAGTCTATGACTGGGTCTCCTTTTTGTCGCCTTATTTTAAAAAGTTTCCAAACATCAAGAAATATCATCATTTTCAATTCAAGCAAGCAATGCCAGGTGTTCTAATGTATAGGGAGTTTTCAGATGGAACCGATGAACGTTTTAGTCTATTACGTAAAGAAGATACCCTTCCGCCCAGTATCCCTCCTGCTCCCTTACAGCCCAAAGGTTTGGATCAGCAAGGGAAACAATACCTCTATACTTAAATTCAACAGTTTTGCAAAGAAGGCACAGAGGATCTTATTGCTCCCAAACCGTAGACTTACGATTTCTGAACACTTTTTTTAAGTTAAACGATTGACGACAAAGAAGTGCCCCTTTGAGTCTAGCACTTGGACCAAACAACTGCCCTTTTGAGATTTCTCGGCAAACCAGCGGTATAAATCAGTTTAAATCGGGCATTTTTTTTGGCATTTTAGGCTCCGACAAGTGTCGTACCAACCAGTCGGCCTGTTGATAAATAACTTTGTTATTTGATTTTATAGCTCATGGTGTCCAAAGGTATTTTAGGATACACGTCTTTTGTAACGAAGTGTGTGGTGACTTTTATTAAGATCACAGTTGTAACAGCCGTCAATTCGATGTCAATTCCACGTTTTATTCGATCCGATCAACTACGCTCAGCACACCGTTCGAATACAATACCGTACAAGAAATCCTTACAAACAAGCGTCTCTATCCGTAACCTTGAAAACTGCTGAAATATCCGTAATGCTTCCGTAATGTTCTATTCCTTCGATGTGACTCTAGTTAAACGATCCTTATCCGAGAAATAAAGGCGAAAATAACAAGCGATAAAAGCACATGTATGCCGAGGTTGGACCTAGTGTCNACTACGCTCAGCACACCGTTCGAATACAATACCGTACAAGAAATCCTTACAAACAAGCGTCTCTATCCGTAACCTTGAAAACTGCTGAAATATCCGTAATGCTTCCGTAATGTTCTATTCCTTCGATGTGACTCTAGTTAAACGATCCTTATCCGAGAAATAAAGGCGAAAATAACAAGCGATAAAAGCACATGTATGCCGAGGTTGGACCTAGTGTCGAATGACAACACCTCGGCGCAGATTGGGCCTAGTGCACAGGACACCTAGCATTTACAACAGTTGTAACTATAGTTTTCACATAATCTTTAAAGACATTCTACCATCGGCTGATCAGATGCTTTATTGAGGCTG